TTCGCGTCACGACTGCGACGTTATGTTTTGTAAAATTTGTCGCTCGTTGCAAACTTTGAATCATTCTTGTTACATACAGCCTCTTCGTCGTAAAGTCACAGTTGAAGACCGGAGAGGGGACGAGCGCTGGGACAATGCGAGAAGAGAACCAGGTAAACGACGAGAATGACGTCGAAAGTGCGAATGATGCGCGAAGTAAAAAAGATCGCGTCGCATTCGTGTTCTATGACTTCGAAACCCGACAAGACGAGACGCTCGAAGGAACGGAGAATATAAAGATACACATACCGACTCTTTGCGTCGCGCAACAAATTTGCGAAAGTGCGCGGAAATACAAGAAATGTCGACGCGATGTCGTTGGTGCGGGGTGCGTGAATTTGTTTTTCGCCATGATCCGGTAAAAGAATTTGTAGATTTCGCAACGCGAACGTCAAAATATTTTAACAAAATAATTTGTATCGCGCATAATGCGAAAGCGTTTGACGCTCAGTTTATCTTAAAATACATCGTAGAACAATCTGGCATAATTCAAGAGCCACGGATGATTTTGAACGGGACGAAAATTATCATGATGACGGTCGGTAACACGAAATTTATTGATAGCTCAAATTATATGCCGATGCGATTATCTGATTTACCTAAGGCTTTCGGACTGCAGGATACATCGGGTAAAGGCATCTTTCCTCATTTATTCAATAGAAAAGAGCATCAAGCATATATCGGACCAATACCTAGCGCACGGTATTATTCGCCCGAACAAATGAAACCCGAGGAACGCGAGCATTTTATAAAATGGCACGACGATATGACACAATCCGGCTTCATTTTTGATTTTCAACGCGAAATAGTTAAATATTGTCGTAACGACGTTGATATCCTTCGACGGGCCTGCTTGGCTTTCAGGAAAATCTTTCTTGAACGCGGGAGCGTGTGTCCGTTCGTGGAATGCACAACTATCGCTTCTACGTGTATGAAAGTTTTTCGCAGAAACTTTTTACGCGGGAAAGAAATAGGAGTCATTCCAGTTGGTGGATACAGATATAGAGATAATCATTCGCGCAAAACCGTGCAGTGGTTGGTGTGGATGGAGCGTGAGCTCAATCAACGGATAAGCCACGCGGGGCGAGGGCGCGAATTTCGGATTGCCGGTACGCCCGTCGATGGATATTACGAAACTGATTTGGAGAACGAGACGCAACGTTACGTGTTACAATTTCACGGATGCTTTTGGCATGGATGTCCATCATGCTTCCGAATAAATCGCGAGAGAAAACTCAGTTCTTCCACCGATCATGGCGATACGATCGACGCGCGCTACGAGCGAACTCTCGCGGCGACATGGCGTCTTCGACGACGGGGATACCTGGTGATGGAGAAATGGGAGTGCGATTTTGACCGAGAAATACGTGAAAATAATGAGATGCGCGATTTTCTTGAAAATGCTCAGATAATAAAGAACTCGCCTCTCGATCCGCGCGACGCATTTTTCGGTGGCCGAACGGGGAATATAGCAACCCGATGCGATGTTGCGGGAACGGAGAAAATACGCTACATAGACGTATGCTCTCTGTATCCCTATGTACTGAAAACGGGTGCTTTTCCGATCGGTCACCCAAAGATCTACATCGGAGAGGAATGTTCCGAGTTAATCGGCGTATTTCCGGATTTCGATTTCAACTCGCTCGAAGGACTCATTCGTTGTAAAGTACTCCCTCCGCTCGATCTTTTTCATCCGGTACTCCCGTATCGCGTACGCGGCAAATTGTGTTCGCGCTGTGTCGGAGTTGTTGCGAAACGTTCTCGCAAGCTGAGTGTACTCACAGTTTCGCCGATCGTGAATTCGAGGATACCTGGGTATCCTGTGAATTTCGCAAAGCCGTCGAGAAAGGTTATCGCGTGTCGGAAGTGAGAGAAATTTGGCAATACAAGGTCACGCGATATGATCCCGATACGCGGCAGGATGGATTGTTTACCGGATATATCAATAGTTTTTTGCAATTGAAGCAGGAAGCTAGCGGATGGCCGAACGAATGCGTGGATGACGAAGCTAAGGAGCGATATCTTCGGGAATACGAGGAAACCGAGGGTATCGTTCTCGATAAAAATAACATCGCTCGAAATCCAGGTCTACGTTCGGTTGCAAAGCTCTGCTTAAATTCCTTTTGGGGAAAATTCGGTCAACGATCCAATTTGCCTAACTAACACCGAGATCGTGAAAAATTACCAGCGATTGGCAGCTTTGCTCACGAGTCCAGAACACGAAATAACCGATATATTACCCGTCAACGACGAGGTAATATATGTCTCGTGGAGATTACGAGAAGAAGCGGTCGTAGCTTCTCCGCAGACAAACGTCGTGATCGTGGCATTCACGACGGCGCTGACGCGACTGAAATTATACGAACATTTAGAATTATTGAATAGGCGAGTATTGTATTATGATACAGATTCCTGCTTATATATAAGTACAGGCGATCCGAACGAGTACGAGCCACGTACGGGAAATTTTTTGGGGGATATGACCGACGAACTCGAGAGCTTCGGCCGCGGTAGTTATATCGAATCGTTCGTGTCGGCTGGCCCGAAATTCTATGCGTACGTTGTTCGTACACCGGAGGATCGCCTGCATGAAATTTGTAAAGTAAAAGGAATAACGCTTAATTATAGGAACTCGCTTAGGGTAAATTTCGATAGTATCAGAAGATTAATCAGGATCAGGGGAAGCGACAGCGGTAAAGCGGCGATAAAGAAGAATATAATTGAATTTCGCGAGGGTTTACCTCGTCCGGAAGATTACTCGAACGATCCGTTTTCTCCAAAATTGGTGATAATCGATGATCTTATGAGAGAATCGTCGTCGAGCGACGCAATCGTTGATCTTTTTACTAAAGGCAGTCATCACAAGAATCTCAGCGTTATTCTTATCTCGCAGAATCTCTTCCATCAGGGCCGTGGACAGCGTGATATATCTCTCAATGCGAATTACATCGTAGTTTTCAAAAATCCACGTGATCGCGCTCAAATTCGTCATTTAGCGCGTCAAGTATATCCCGACGATCCGAAATTTCTAGAAGAGGCATACTACGACGCTACGTCGAGGCCTCACGGCTATTTGCTGCTCGATCTGAAACAATCAACTCCGGACGAGTATCGATTTCGAGCGTGTATTTTTCCCGAAGATACGACTCATTACGTCTACGTGTCACGTAGATCATTTTCGAACGGATTCGTATAAAAGACGAGCACGTGCGATAGTACCAGTCAGTCGTACGTTTTTTCTCGCGATGAAGACGAGTGACGAGAAATCGCACAGTGCGACGAAAATCGCCACACATTCGATCGGTAAAAGAAACGCTTGTCTTCTCGCGGCCCTCTATCATCTGAACAAAAATCAACGCACGACCTTCCTACGTGCCGCGGACGAAAAACTTATTCGTTGTATCTGTGAATGTGTTTTTAATACACTCAAAGGTAACGTCTCGCTCGAACGTTGTGAAAAAAATCGGCTAACCAAATTCAAAACGCCTCTATGTCGTATCGTTGCAAAACGTGGTAATTGGAAGGATAAAAGAAAGCTGTTGGTGCAGCGAGGCGGATTTTTACCTTATATTATCGGTCCTATATTATCGACCTTATTATCGCTAATTATCGAAGGAACGAAATAGTGGGATAAAACGTTATGGAGAGGGCCAAAAAAATGGTTTTAATTTCGACGGAAAATCTCGAGAGAATGCAACATCAGCTACGTCAGAATCTGACATCATTCGCTGACGGAGAGTCAAAAGAAATTGCAGTACCGCAAAATTCGGATAACACAGCGAGCACTAATAGCACAGCGCAAACTCCCGGAACTCATCTAACACGACTCGATGCGGAGATGGGCCGTATTCTTAATTCTGACTGGCCACGCGACGAAAGTGAGAGATGGAAAATGTACAGAGAGGCATTATGGCGATACCTACGATTTATCCAAGAAACGCGAAGGCAGAAAGACGCCCGCAGCGAAAACGCAGAAGACAACGCTACACGAGATGGCTCCGCTGATAACGAGACGACGAGCGATGACATTTTTCACGATCTCACGCAAACATCCGATATACCACTAGCACATTCCATCAGTAATACCGGTATTATTACGAAAAATTTTGAAATTTCGAGCGATCATAATCATGCGAAGAATAATCATGCGATGAAAAGCATTGAGGAAATAGTGGAAAGCGTACCGAAATCTTATCGTAAGTATGCACGCTTACTGACAAAAC